ACTCCCAAATTCCTCCAGCCCCAAATTCCTTTCCAGCCAACTAATTGCTCTTTTTCCTTTAACAGTAAGATTTTGGAAACCCTACTGTCCTGTCCTGTTTTTCCTTCCTTTCCAAATTCGCTGCACTCTTGCTTTGGTTCTCCTAAAGCTGTTGAGATTGTTTTGGCTAAAGTCACCACAGGTGATTTTGTTCACTTGCAGTTTGTCATTGATTTTATAAAGGCAAGTATTTGAATTATAAGAGTAATAACTGGCCTTCTAATAGCTTAAGTAATAATTAAAATTGCCTAAAAGTAGAATTGAGTCTCCTCCCATCCACTTTAAGTATATTGCTGTGTGTCCACTCTTGACAATTTCATATCTAGTGTCTTTATTTGTCACTTTGTTTATCCAAATACAAAACAGACATGTATACAGCTGTTATATAGGATTTCTTTTTCTCTGTCTTTTTTCTGTTCCCCACACTCTCTCCTGCCTTCATTTCTTCTAAATGTAAATTTCTCTCTCTCAGTTTTTTCTTTGAGATAGGGTCTCATTATACAGTTCAGGCTGGCCTTGAACTCACCATGTAGCTCGGGCTGGCTTTGAACTCACAGTGATTTTTATGGCTCAGCCTCCCATGTGCTAGGACTATGGACCTGTGCCACCATGTCCAGCTATAAAATTCTCTTATCTTATACATTCTGTAACTTGCTTTGCAATTAACAACACATCATAGCTATCCTTCAAATCAATACATATAGATTGTCAAATCCTTTTTAGCAGCTGTATAATATTCTGTAGTAAGGAATTGCAGAATACATTGTTTATCAAACTATTCCCACTGAAAGACATGCAGGTTCTTTTGATTAGGCTGAATCATAACAACTGTCACTTTGTAGATTTTTGGGTTTCATTTTTCTATTATGTTATAATATGTCTGTACACATCTTTAAAAACTTGTTTCTACAGATAAATTCCAAGAAATTTCTATGGATAAATTCTAGTTTGAAAAGTGTGTCTATTTTACTCCCAGATGGCTTTCTTAAAATTTTGGCCTAATATTACAGACCCATCAGTGATTCTTTGGGAAGTTATAGGTCCCGGTACCTCTTCTAGTACTTCTCTCCGTAGACCTTCACACAATACATTGTGTCTGCTAATAGGGATCATACCTTTTTTTGTGGCAGTATTTTCAAATTCTGCTTGCCTCTTCTGGGTCTCTTTCTCTAGTTTCTTTTTTTATTTCCTCTTAGGTATTGCACAGCACATGGTTCTGCCCTTGTTCATTTTCTAGTTATACTTAATTCTCTTCTTAAGTAAGTTCATGGTTCTAAATAGTTTTTTTTTTTCTTTCTTTTTTTGTGGTGGGCATTGAACTCAGGACCTCATGCATGCTAGGCAAGTGCTCTAACACTGAATTATCCTGCAGCGCACTCCAACTAGAAGCTTAACCTTCATCCCACTACCAGCCCCAAAGTTTACTTCACCTGAATTAGAAAAGTTTCCCTTCCTTAATATGTTTTACTTAGTGGGGTGTGGTGGCAAACACTTGTAATCCCAGCAGTCTTGGGAGGCTGAGGCAGGAAGATCATGAGTTTGAACCCAGCTTGGGCAATTTAATGACTTAGCAAGACCCCATCTCTCTTAAAAAAAAAAAAAGATGCCTTGTGGTACTTATCATTTCATCACTTTTGGAATGCTTTTTATGCATTTCTTTTCTCAGGAAATGAGACTCTCGTTTAGTCTTAGGTACATAGCTTAGAAATTTGAAAATTCATCCCAGCGTCTCTTTTCTTTCTTCACATTGGATAGGTTACCAAGTACTACTGCTTTGATCTCGTAATTGTTTCTCAAATCCACTATTTTTTAATCTTTCCCCTACCATTTTGTATTAGTGCATATTAGTTGTACAGTTTAATAGGTTTCCTTTTGGTATATTTGTACATGCACATAACATACTTTAGTCACCCTTCCCCCATCCTTGTCTCACCCTCCCCCTAGTCACACATCTTTTGGGGAAGGGTTTCAATGTTTATTTTTAAAAAATTGTATTCATGCCCCATATTTGCCATCCTTACACCTCTCCTCCTTCTTCCCATCCTCTTGTCTAATAAGTCTCCCTTCTACTTTCTTGTCATTTTTTTTTTAAATTCCACATACTAGGGAGAACATGTGATATTTGTCTTTCAGAGTGGCATGTGTTGCTCACATGCTGATTTCCAGATCCATTTTTTTTCTACAAATGACAAAATTTAATTTTTTATGGTTGCATAATATTCTATTACACACATTATCCTTTCATCTATTGCTGGGCACCTGGGCTGGGCTTGTATTTTGGCTATTGTATATTGTGCTACAATAAACATGGGCATCCAGGTACCCCTATGGTGTGCTGACTTTTCCACTCCACAAGGAGTGGTATAGCTAGATCACATAGCAGCTCTAATTTTAGTTTTTGAGGAGCCTCCACCTTGAGTTCCACAGTAGGTGTAGTAACTTACATTCCCACCAGCAGTGTAGAAAGTTCCCCATTCCCATCCCTAGCAGCATTTGTTTCTCCTATTCTTTTTTTTTTTTTTTTTTTCCTGTACTGGGAATCGAACTCACAACGTTGCGCTTGCCAGGCAGGAGCTGTGCCACTGAGCTAAATCCCCAGCCCCTGTTTCTCCTATTCTTGATAAAAGCCATTCTGACTGTGCCAAGGTGGAATCTCAGCGTCGTTTTGATTTTCATTTCCTTCAAATCCATTATCTTTTTTTTTTCAAACCTCAGTGCTACTGTCTGGTCATATCTTTCCTAGACTTCTCTACCATGTGCAAAATACTTCGACGTGCACATTGTCAATATGCTGAAATCTAAACCTGTTAGCATGGCTTTAAAAGTTCTCTATTAATAAACCCAATGATCCAGCCTCATTTCCTGACATGCGCTATAGAACCCTATCTTCAGTCATAGGAATCTACTTTCAAATCCCTGACATCCCAAGCTCTCTAATAATCCAGTGCCTTTGCACCTGTCAGCCTTACACCTGGAATTCCTTGCCAGTCTTTTTGACCTGGCAAACTCTGACTTGTATTTCAGGCCTCAGCTCCAGGGTTATTTTCTGTTTTTTGAGATATCTAGGGAGACTGAGGCCCTTCTATATGTAGCAATTTTAACATTTTTGTTAGTTTTATTAATTAGAGTTTCCACAGTAAGCCCTAAGCTTCTTGAGAGTTGGGACCATGATCGTTATCTTTAAATTTCCAACACATAACACAAGGACTGGTATCTAACAGGCACTTGAAAGACTGAAAAGCAAATTAGTAATGTAATAAGAATAGCATGCTGGCTAGGGCTTAAAGTTTAAACTGCAGAGTTTCACTTAAGAGTAGCTTTAAAAAATTTGTAGTAAATAGATGAATGGAAATTGAAGAAAAGTACATCCCTAACGTAATGCCTCTTTTAGTGCATTTACTCAAATATGTGATGTGTTACGCTTATGCAGATGTACTGCGTATGTTTTCCATAACAGTAAAATGTAAGTACCCTTTCACTTTTTAAAAGCTTAACTGTACACATTTTTCAGCGTTCTTGCCCGACCCTCCTAACTGGGTTGATTCAGGTTCTGCTTTTCACAACTAGAATGGCCTTGGGTAAGTCACTGAACCTTTCAGGTTCTCATTTTCTTCCGCTGTACAATGAATACTATAGGTAATAAAACCTGCCTTACCCCAGGGTAGTTTTGGGTGTCAAATCTGATAATGTGCTGGGAGCACCTGGTGAACGCCAATATCCCTGAGATATTAGGAAGTTTGGTAGTAGCTCAGACTCCCGTGCCCATCTGCCTGCAGGTGAGGGCGTGTGACAACTGGGCAGAATGCACCTGATGACTCCATCAGGAACTCTTGGACTGCCTCAGCCTACACTGAAGGCTGCTAGGTCAATTCAGGGGAGCATCTGGGCTACCACTCCTCAATGCCCAGGGCACCCGGAGCGGCAGAGGTTGTGCAGTCTTAGATTCTGAGGACTCTTTTCTCCCTCAAGTAGAGAACTGAATCTCAAAGCATGCCAAACATTCATTATTAAATGCAACTTGTAAGGGGCTGGGGATTTAGCTCAGCGGCACAGCGCCTGCCTGGCAAGCGCGAGGTCGTGAGTTTGATTCCCGGTATCGGATAAAAACAAAAAAACCCCAAAACTTGTAAAACCCCCAATACTGTCTTGCTCAATGGTCCCTTTGCTCTGGGTTAGCCGCTGCTGGCTACATCTTGGGTTCTTATCTGCCAATTTGGAAATCTTTAGTCCTTGTCAGGATTCACTCCGGAGGAGGTCTGTATTTCTGGGAAGCCAGGCGAAAACAACAATCTGTTTTGAGTTGGCGTTTGAACACCCTTCACCGCTCCAACGTTCAAAGCTAGCGTTAATAAGCATTTCAATTTTTCCTTAAAAAATGATTAACCGATCTCCGACTGCGAAAACGGAGTCCATCACCCCGTGACGGGATCCTCGGAGGCTTCTGGAGGGGGGACCGGCCGCCCAGGTCTCGGCTCCGGGGTCCCCGGGCCCGGACGCCCGCCC